TCAGAAACCCCATCAACAATTAAAAATCCCCTGTAAATAGTTAAAATAAATTAATCCATTAAAAATCAAATATAGATAGTTGAAGTCCACACGTCTTAAAGTTGCCAAGGTTGACAAACACTGGTCTAGCTAATACCTTTCCTGGAACCTGAGGGGGATCCTTTTAAAAAACTCTCCATCCAAAACTCCCCAATAAAGAATAAGTTGTTAACAGTGAGGCTGGGGCCCTTGACACCCTCAGTCTGGTCAGTTTTGGGGAAGGGGGTTGTTCTGGCCCCTTCTACCGAAGACTTCTCCTGTCACCCCAGGTCTAGGAAAATGAAAGGAAGGTGCTTTGATGCAGAATTGAACAAACTTTGTGCAGGTCTTGAAATAAAAAAAGGAGCTATGTGACCAGGCAGCCGTGCACGGAGGGAGGATTTCAGAGAGAAATTCCTTTGTGAGATCAATGAAGCCAAATCTCTAGAGCAGTGTTTCTCAACTTTGGCGGCTTTAAGATGTGTAGACCTCAACTCCCAGAAATCTCCAGCCAGCATGCTAGCTGCCAAATTCTGGGAGTTGAAGTCCATGCATCTTAAAGTGGCCATAGTTGAGGAACACTGCTCTAGAGGTTACAAGAGCTTACTGGGAAAAGGGGAACGCAGAGAAAATAAGGAAAGGCGACAGTCGCAGAGAGAGAATTCCACCTAACGTCAGTGCAGTAAAACCTCAATTTAATGGGCCCTCATTTAACGGACTTTGGATGCAGTGGACAAAATTTGTGTGAGAGATTTGAAATCCCTTGAAGCCCTTGTTTAGAGGAGGTGCTCCTTAGTGTATGCAGGGTGCTGAAAGAATGCCAAGTAACTAAACAGCAAAAAAATGTTCTTCAGTTGTGTTAGATGCAGAGAGAGGATGCATTTCATCCAGCTATCAACGGATGCTAGCAGACAGTCTTTTCTTTTGAAGTAAGAGATTTATTAAGAAATACAGAGATAGGAAAGCTGTTCAAGCATCCGTACATTCACTGTGAATATCGGTGAGGGAATTTATGCAAGTTCGCCTCCTCGAGAAAGGCAGCATGCTATATGCCTGCTCCAAAGCTCTAGACCATGAGGGCTGGATTCACACGTCATCCTGAAGCCTAAACTCAGGTTAACAAACCACAGTTGCTCTGTTCAGGTAACTTGCTGTTCCCAAACAGATAACCTATACAGTGGCTTCATGTGATGCTCTGATCATACAACCTTTAAAGTCATGGTTGGGTTCCCACCACAACACCAAGCCGTTCCACCTCATTTTAGCCTATCGTTGTGTGTTGTGCCACCCCAGCCCCTGTCCAAAGTGATGACAAGTGTGTGTACTTATTCTGTATATGACTCTCTGTTTTAAAGCTAGCTCTTGGTTTTCAGCTGAAATCTCCTTCAGATGCTGGAAGGCCTAGAAGCCGAATCATTTTGTAGTTCAGCAACATCTGGTTCCCCCTCCCTGGTCAATAGCTTGACTGATCCCAAGGCCTCTACAAGAGGAATAGATTTAATTTTCTTTCCCCCAAAGCCAGACAGGTATTTTACATCTGTTCCTCAATTGCTGTCTACTCCACTGGCCTTCTGGCTCTGAAACCAATCAGGTTAGAAGGCTTACCTTGGCAAGGTGAGAAGAAGGATGCCTCCAGGCTAGAGTGACAGGTCTTTCTGAGTGTTTGGCACAGCAGTTGCCCGGATATATCTTGAGAGCTCATAGGGTTTTGTGCATTTAGGAAGAACGATTCAAATCATTTTTGGTTTTTATACACCAGATTATATTCTGTCTCAATACAAGGGGTCAGAAAATGCAACTTACATACAGCCTTCAGATGTCCTTTGGTGGAATCTAGGACTCCCCCAGTGGGTTTTTGTTCGTATTGGAGTGGGGGAGATTAACCTTGCAGATGATTAAACACCCATTTTATTCCTCAAGTTCCAAACTTCTCCTCCATGCCCCAACACTTCAGCACTTGAAGCATCCCACTGTTAAGAGTTTGGACTTGAGTGTGACACCCCATTCTAAATACAACCCCAAAACCTTGAAGTAGCACAATGTTCCTGGTCCATTTGATGCAGAATCAAGTGGTGTCCTTTGTTGTCCTTCTGTTTTGGTATTAAAGCTCCAGGTAACACAAGAGAGATTAGGAACTAAGAACCGTTTTGCTGGATTAAGGCCATTAAATCCATTCTTCTTTCTCCAAACATGGCTGCTTAGATGCCTGCAGATCTTGTATTTATACACGGAGACTTGGGTTAGCTTAGATGATTAAGAACTGCTGATTTATTTCATTTAATTTATTATTAAATATACACCCACGCCTTTCTTTTCTGCTTAAATAGGGACAGAAGGTGGCATATACCACAATAAAAAATACTGTTGTAAACAACAATTAAATCAATACAATTAAATCAATATCAAAAATTAATATTACTATTTTTAAAATCAATTACCAGTTGGCGAAAAAGATGCCTTTGGGGCATGTGAAGCCTTCTGCCGTTTCCCTCCGCTGCATCTTTAGAAATGAATTCTATCAGTTAATGATATATCCCCCTTCCTAATCAATCTTTCTATTAGATGAGGCTCTGTAGGTGTAAAATTCTTTGGGACACTTGAAATTACAAAATAGATTTCTGGGGCAAACCCGCATGGATTTCTATAACACATTTTTGCTCGTGGGATCAAGAGCAAATTCTCAGTGTCTGATCGAGCTACTCAGTGGTTTGTGAACGATCAGAATATTTTCAAATAATCTTCTGTCCATCTTGCCTCCGTTTGCTAG